TATAGTTTGCTGACGTGCACCGTCATTCGCACGCGCGTTCAAAATTTCCCGCCCAAAATTTCTCGCGATGTCGGCATTTTGCGAATATCTCGGGTCTTTTGTTCAGTGTTAAATGTTTGTTTGCATCCATTATGCAGAGTTTTTCTTCTATGCAGAGATTGCAACGCTTTACGCCAGATGAGTATGCGCCTGCCCGCTTCAGAATTGACCATTTTAGGGTGTAATCTTTATTATTACTCTTTAGCCCCCAGATGTACTTTGACAGCTCTGTATCGTTTTTATATCTTTGAAGTTTGAAGGGTTTCTTGTGATTTTCATATCGTGCTTTGAAAGTAGTCGCCGTCATTCCTATATACTCTTTTATGATACCGTCGTCGGGTGATGTAACTTTGGCCTTGTAGATGTTTTTCGATTTACAGTTCTTCTTAATAGGGCATTCACTCGGGTTATTACAATTGCAGTTATCTGATGTTGGTGGGGTAGTTGTGGGTTTTGACAGGATGCAATTGTTTGGCGAGATATAACGCTCTTTAAATTAGGCATGCAGCTATAGCTAACTTTGACTGTGTTACGGTTGAATATTTTGTGCAAAGGACTTGGGAAGTGTTTATCGAGAAACTGTAGGAAATTCCGCGCGATGTTGGTTTTAACGGATTTGCTGAATGGGGGGTTGAACCAGATAATGTTTCTTTGGCGCCTTCGTTTCGTAGATGGTGGAGAAAAAGGGCTGTTGGGAGAATATTCCAAAGAAACATTGTAATTGCTGTGTTTAAGTGCGCTTTCGTAGAAAGGTTTGCATTCATCGAAGGATTGTTGGTCAGATGAAAGGGAAGAGATTCGCTTGTTATTACCTCATTTGAACATTTAAATTAAAACGCAGGATTTTACATTTTTGTAAACAATTTTTGGCAGAAATAAATTGATAACAACAGATTTTCGGAAGCAAAAGTTGAAAACACAACAGTTTAATTTTAAGTGCTGTTTCACCTTCAATGTGACAATGGCGGCACATATATTAATTAAGTATCGTGCATTCCGCAGGATTTTAAATGCACTCTACAGGATTCTAAAAAGTGTTTTTAATATACATGTAAACAACGTTTTAACACAAACTGAAGTAGAATAGTAAGTTATTTTATACAACAACCAAATTTGTAATATAGGTATTTTGAAAGGGAAAGTGTAATTTTAGATTTTCTTCGCGAGCTTTCCATCTTAGCGGGTCCGTACTGCAGGTTACAGACTGCTCAGAAACCAATCAAATTGTCGCATTTTGCAGATGGACCGCGCCTTGCCATATAATAAAACAAGTTTGTTTAAATAATGTTTTATACGTGTGCATGGCCATGTTTTTCTGTTGACGTGTTCATAATCCTGACCTTTAAACAACAAGATATGAATTCATAATTTCTTGTTTTAGGAAGTGCTTTAAAATGCAATCAGTGTACGGCTAGCTCAAAAACATCGACACCAAGTTGCAACTCGAAGAGCACAGTCGATTGTGGCACGGGGTATTGTTACACAGCAACCTACACCCAGAAGGATGGCACAACAGTGGTTGACAGAAACTGTAACAACCCTCTGGACAGTTACTGCCCCAACGCAGCAAAAACATGCGATGCAAAGACCCAAGCAGCGGGCCTGAAATCCTGCCGTGGTGCATGTTGTACCACAGATAATTGCAACGATTACACCCTCGGTAACAGTGCAAGTGTTGTTATGGTGACCAAGTTCATTCTTTGTTCTCTGTATACATAAATATATGTATATATACATATATATATATATATATATATATATATATATATATATATATATATATATATATATATATATATATATATATATATATATATATATATAATTAATTAAAGTTCTCCGGATTGAAATATACTTTTATTGAGCTTTCGACTCGGTACTTCCAACCTTCCTCAGAATACTGAGATTAAAATTTTAATCTCAGTATTCTGAAGAAGGCTCGAAGTACCGAGTCGAAAGCTCAATAAAAGTATATTTCAATCCGGAGAACTTTAATTAATTATAATATGCCTGGATTACAAATTTTTAAATTCAACTTTTCCTGTTCACTAAAAAATACTTACCTACGGTGATTAACATATATATATATATATATATATATATATATATATATATATATATATATATATATATATATATATATATATATATATATATATATATATATACTGGATGTCTAAAAAAAACTTGCGTTGTTTGATTTCATAAAAGCTATTACACTCTTTGATATGTAGCCCTAAAAATAACATTTACTATTACGTGAGATACAAATGTTTGAATTTGGCGCACGCTTTAAAAATGAGTAAGAAAATCAAGAAACATGGCTAATCAAATTTATATGAAAACAATTGCAATTTTTCACAAAACTTAACAATTTAAATTTTAGCATTTTAACTCAACTTTAAGTTCGGGTAATGTCCTTGTATACCTTTCCTGTTTCTTAGGAAGAAAAATAAGCATGAAAATTTAAAAACGTTTGAAATCATATTTGACGTCCTTTGAGAGTTCGTATTATAAAGTTGATTGTCGTTCGCCTTTCGAATATGCCTCGATTAACAAAAGATTAGAGAATTTCGGTTTTATAGTTGCTCGTGCCATTTTCCCGTTTTACGTGCCAAGACATTGTATACGTGAAAAAGGAAATACTTTCTATGATGAATGAATAAATGTTTATCCAACAATTATGTTTTTCACCCGTTCTTTTGGCCACAATAAAGTTATATAGTGAACTTTAACCAAATAATATTTGATAAGCAATTTTATGCAAATTTGTAACATTGTCAGATATGCTAACTCGATTTAAAACAACTGTAGCTCAGTAAATATTGCACGGATATTTGCACGGATATTCAAATGTTATATATCAATATATATATCAATATATATATATATATATATATATATATATATATATATATATATATATATATATATATATATATATATATATATATATATCTATATATATATATATATTAAGATGAAATGTTCTCGAGTGTGTATTATATAATTTCCATACCCAGCGTAAGCAGAAAGATAAAGTCTGCCGCGGCTGGGTCTTGAACCCGCGACCTTCGAATTACTAGATCGACTCTCTACCAACTGAGCTGCACGGTCAGACGGATTTAAGACTGGAAATTATGAAATATATACTGAATGTATACATTTAGTTAACGCAAACAATACACTCCCACAATTCGATTAGGTATATTTCCGCGTAAACAACGCAAACAATCGTTTGAATGCATGCTTTGTTTCACCCACCCACACACACCCACGTTTCGGCAAAACACATATAAGCAGCCCTATTTTTGAAACTTGTCATACCGCTTGATGATTCTTTACTGATGAAACAGACTGTTGCGGAATTTTGAGGTAAGCGAAATTCTGCATTTGCTCTATCTTTATGACACTGAGCACTCTTTGCGTTTCGCATATATATATATATATATATATATATATTATATATATATATATATATATATATATATATATATATATATATATATATATATATATATATATATATATATATATATATATATATATATATATATATATATATATATATATAATTAATTAATTCTTGTTGTCCGTAATTGAACGAAGAGTGCTCAATACCAATATACGATAGAGCTTAAATAATTCTTTAATCTTAAAATATATTTGTCGCTACACTGTGTTTCACGCTTCTTTCGAAGCGATCTTCAGGCGAATGAAGTTGATTCAATGACGTGCTATAAACTAACGGTTTGCTGACGCATCTCGCGTGCGTTCAAATTTGCGCGCGCTAAAACTATTTCTATGACAGCATTTCGCGAATATTTTTGAGCGTTTATTCAATATCCTGCTTTTGTCAGCTTCCAGTAAGCAAACCTTCTCTTCAAGGCACAGATTGCATCTTGCTGCAGCAGCCGTATACGCACGGGCACGCTTTAGTATGCTCCACTTGATGTTGTATTGCTTCCCGCTTTTCTTGAGTTTCCACGCATACTTTGATAACTCTGTTTCCGCTGAATACCGAGGAACAGTTAGTGATTTTTTATGGTATACGTGCGTATACGGCTGGTGCAGCAAGATGCAATCTGTGCCTTGAAGAGAAGGTTTGCTTACTGGAAGCTGACAAAAGCAGGATATTGAATAAACGCTCAGAAATATTCGCGAAATGCTGTCATAGAAATAGTTTTAGCGCGCGCAAATTTGAACGCACGCGAGATGCGTCAGCAAACCGTTAGTTTATAGCACGTCATTGAATCAACTTCATTCGCCTGAAGATCGCTTCGAAAGAAGCGTGAAACACAGTGTAGCGACAAATATATTTTAAGATTAAAGAATTATATATATATATATATATATATATATATATATATATATATATATATATATTTATTTATCACATACTTGTACCTTTATCAGGTAGGAAGCAGCGGGACATAAAAACGATATCGTCCCGGATATCGTTTTTTGTCCCGGATATCGTTTTTTGTCCCGCTAAATTTCGCGCCTTGTCAAAACAAAGATGGCCGACTCGAGGTTCGTGTTGGAGTTTATCGAAGGAAACAAGAACGATAATACAAAATGAAAGACTTAAATTGTATATTATTTATCTGAATGGTCTATTTATTTTCTAAAATCATATTTGTTCAGTAAATCGGATGAATTCAAAACATTGAATTCTAAAATGATCCTAATTTTTCAAAACTGTTTACTTTTGGGTGTCAAACCCTGATAAAGGTACAAGTATATAATAAATAGGTTATCGTACTCGGGATTCGGTTATATCAGTTTCATCGCTCCCGGGACGATATCACAATTGTCCCTCGCTCGCTGCGCTCGCTCGTGACAATTGTGATATCATCCCTCGAGCGATAAAACTGATATCACCTCATCCCTTATATGATAACCTATATTTATATATATATATATATATATATATATATATATATATATATATATATATATATATATATATATATATATATATATATATATATATATATATATATATATATATATATATATATATATATATATATCAAATTATAATTTTTACAAAATTATACAGTGTTCTCCGGATTGTAATTATTTGTTTTGAGCTTTCGACTCGGTACTTCGAGCCTTCATCAGAAAGATTGATCATTTGAATTTTCGCGCTGTTGTTGACGTTGTTGAAGTCTGTGGGAACGTCTGATTGGTTGATGGAATTCAATATGTTGGTTGCCATTAGTTACTATCGAATGCGGGTGATTATTGTTATCATGAGACGGTGTAGGGAAGGAAGTTGAGGGTGGGTTAAAGGTTAATGAAGATGAATTAGGAGATTTGTGAGAGCGTTTCAGTTGTAAGTAAATTGTAGGGATGTCAATGTGACGGTTAAATGTTTGTTTGTCTAAACTATGCCACGCTTCTTTAAACTCACGGGCATGTTTAGTAGTTGCTTGTCCTAGGCATCTCGTTTGAGACCAGTCAAATTTGTGTCCGTTGTCGTCTGTGTGTTTAGCTGCAAATAATTACAATCCGGAGAACACTGTATAATTTTGTAAAAATTATAATTTAATAAAATGCCTGGATTACAAATCTTCAAATCTATTATATATATATATATATATATATATATATATATATATATATATATATATATATATATATATATATATATATATATATATATATATATATATAATTCGACCTTCGAATTACTAGATCGACGCTTTACCTATACTGAGCCACACGGTCAGACGGATTTAAGACTGGAAATTAAAACTTAAACATACTCGTTACGAGTATGTTTATGACATTCAGTATATATTTCATAATTTCTAGTCTTAAATCCGTCTGACCGTGTAGCACAGTAGGTAGAGCGTCGATATAGTAATTCGAAGGTTGCGGGTTTGAGACCCTGCAGCCGCGGCAGACAACATCTTTCTGCTTGCGCTGAGTATGGAAATTATATACACATTCTACAACATTTTCATTTTAATATATATATATATATATATATATATATATATAAAGGTAGATATTTTGTACGTGTTTGTTTCACGAAAGTATATATCGCTGTTTAACTTATACGATATACTTTCGTGAAACAAACACGTACAAAATATCTACCTTTATATTTGCTCACTCCGGTTTGAGCACTCTAGGCACTACATTTTTGTGGCACTGAGATAATGTATAAGCCCTTTAGTAAAAATGATAAAATATATTAGGTCGTAGGGGGTCCCCGTAGACTGATACACTACAGAAGATATACCGCTACTCGGGTACAGAAACATGAAACAAACATGATAAATATCTACCTTTATATATGCAGGGTGTATCAAAAAAACTGAACAAATTTGAAATTGCTCTCAATTTCGCAAAACACCTATTTCTATCTGGTTTTATATATATATATATATATAGCTTCTTTGAGTACTTATGTAAAATAATGAAAAAAAATTCCCAAACTCAAATTTTGTGGACCAGAGGCTCTCTCCTCCGCAGAGGCTTTAGTTTTCTTAGGATTTAGTATTACGATGAGATACATTTCACTACACTTTACATGGCGGATCTTGAAACACGAGCGTAGCCGCTGGGCGAAGGAGCGCAGGCGGCAAAGGGAAAGGCGAAGGAAGGCGCGAAGCCTCTGCACGATTTGCATCGCAAAGTGGGACAAAGTGGGACAAAGTGTAAACATCGAAACAAAAGGTGATTTTTAAGCTAAACAAGAAACGTCTTTTTGAAAATTAAATCATTATTTAATGCATGATTGATTGACCTCATTGACTAGTGCTTGCATGTTTGTGGATGGTCAAAAGTAATATTTTTTAACATTTAATACACAAAGCAAACAATCGTATATTTTACTCACCGCTTGGCCAAACATTCTGTATTTCGTATCGAGAAAAACTTGAATATTTCTTGAACTCTTCGGAATTCGCCACCAGTCAAAGAAGTAAAATACTCCTTGTATTCAAGCGCTTTCGTGTAGAAAATTTCTTTTGAATACGGCCAGTAGAAATATTTATTTTTAATTTTTCAAAATATCGGGTTTTTACTCGCACAGTCGCACGCGCCTGTCACACGCTGATGTTCGGGAATTAGTTCACAATCAGACCAGGAATGGAAATACCATAATAAAAGATGAAGTTTTCAAGATACAAGCTCAAAAATAACACTTTAAGTAGTGTTTTGAATTCGCTTTCGAACAAGAGTAATACAAAGAGGATGCGTCCCAAGGAGCCGAAGTTATGTTCGCCGAAAGGTATGCCTAGTTTATATTTTTATCAAGTATAAACATTGCGTGATTTGATATTAATATACAAAATCCCGCTTGACTTTCAAAGGTCATAAATCGCTATAGTGTTGACATTTCACTAAAACTATCGATAGAAACTAGGAGATATTTTTGTACTGAATCGAACGGTGGTATTTTCATCTACATAGCGTATATTGAACCAAAGATACGAACCTCCAAATAAATCAGGTCGAAACCGACTGAAGGTCGCGTTTGTTTATAAATATTGCTGAAGTTGAAATAGTTGAATTGTATTTTCAGTCTTGATAATAAATTTAATAATGGTTCTGTATGCTATACATACTCATTTTTTTTCTTTTATGCGGTTTTGGACACATTTCTAAAAATACAAATGTCAAATATAAATTTAAATAAAAGTTTTCTCAGTCATTTTGAATTTGACTTGAATTTTGCGTTTGATAATTATACCCCCCCCCGGTTTACCGCCATATTGGGTGTGGAATCGTGCAGAGGCTTCGCGCCTTCATAGCCAATTATAAAGCCTCTGCGGAGGAGAGAGGACCAGAGGGGTGTGTCTTTTCCAACAAACTAAAAATGGCTCGCGCACAAAATTTAAAGTTGTAATCATATTTTGAGTTTGTGGAATACCCCAAGTGAAAGGTCTATAAATGGTATATTATACCCAACCTTTCAAAAATAAGTAGAAAACAAATACCATTCAATTAACTTTTAATTTCAAAACACAACTTTTGATAACTTTACATTTAAAAAAGTCGAATTTCCCGCTCAAGCGTGGTATTCGAAGTCGAATACCATGGCCCCGGGTAAAACACCCAGGGTTCAAATTGCCTAGGTCATAGTATTCGCTGAAAAATACCATGGTCATGTGGTACAAATTTAGTTCTCTGATTGGACAAGCTCATTGTGAGGTATAATATCACCTAAAATATTTCGCCATGTTTTGATTACTTTACAAGCGTTTGCAGGTGTTACTGTAACACGGGTAATATACTGGACAAAGACGTCAAGACAAAGTTATAAAGTTACAGTTTCCATTTATACTGCGGGTGTAGATAATAGATTTATAAATACTAATTGAAGAAACTCGATATATATAGAAACTTGATATTAACTGTGAATAGTTTTATATACATTTAAGCCCTTCAACCTATCGCGTTCATTTGTTGGAAAAATATTCAATATTTTCTACTTCGACTGCTATTGATCAGAAAACTCAATCTGTTCACATATATGGCCATTTAAATACGTATATATTATTATTCGATTATCGCACGCTCCTTGTTTACACTTTACAGTTGACATTTAAAATGGGCGTATCTAGTGTATTTGAATGCTATTGGCTAATGAATATACAATGGGAAGGAGAATTGCTAGCCAAAGTAAGCAGACCGTACGTGGCGGGCCCAAACCCCAGGTCTGCATAGGAGACTATGATTAAGCATGCGAAAAGCTGATTTTTTAGAATAAAATAAATAGATAAAAGGCTTAAACTAAACCAAGTTGTCTGAAATTTTGTACAGTAATTAAAAACACTGAATTAATTGCCTGCAGTCGTCTTGAATAAGTCGTGAAACTTGAGTGGCAATAATTAATTTTAAGATATAATATATCTTGCTCTGCTATAGGCCTAATATTACTATTGAGCACTTTACTATCTACTACAACAAAATTATATATATATATATATATATATATATATATATATATATATATATATATATATATATATATATATATATATATATATATATATATATATATATATATATATATATATTCGGACCTGGTCCAGATCAATGGTCCAGACCGTACAAGAACATTCTTTGAAAAACGGTGTTGTGAATTATGTGGAGAATTAGGTTGTTTACAACTCTATTTGAACATTTAAAAACGCAGCATTTTAAATTTTTGTACACAATTTTTGACTAAGATAAATTGATAACCTCAGATTTTCGGAAGCAAAAGCCGAAAACAGAACTATTTAATTTGAAGTGCAGTCTTACTTTCAATGTGACAATGGCGGCAAATATATTAATTAAGTATCGTGCATTCTGCAGCATTTTAAATGCAGTTCTAAACAGTTTTTTTATACATGTAAACAACGTTTTAACACAAACTTAAGTAGAATAGTTATTTTATACAAAAACCAAATTTTTAATATAAGTTTTTTAAACGGGAAAGTGTAATTTAAGATTTTCTTCGCTTTCCATCTTGGCGGGTCCGTACTGCAGGTTACAAACTGCTCACGGAACCAATAAAAATGTCGCATTTTGCAGATGGATTGGCTTGCCATATAATAAAACAAGTTTGTTTAAATAATGTTTTATACATGTGCATGGCCATGTTTCTCTGTTCACGTGTTCATAATCCTGACCTTTAAACAACAAGATATGAATTCATAATTTCTTGTTGTTTTAGGAAGTACTTTAAAATGCAATCAGTGTACGGCTAGCTCAAAAACATCGACACCAAGTTGCAACTCGAAGAGCACAGTCGATTGTGGCACGGGGTATTGTTACACAGCAACCTACACCCAGAAGGATGGCACAACAGTGGTTGACAGAAACTGTAACAACCCTCTGGACAGTTACTGCCCCAACGCAGCAAAAACATGCGATGCAAAGACCCAAGCAAAGGGCCTGAAATCCTGCCGTGGTGCATGTTGTACCACAGATAATTGCAACGATTACACCCTCGGTAACAGTGCAAGTGGTGTCATGGTGACCAAGTTCATTCTCTGTTTCATGGTGATTGCTGGATTTCTTTTCGCTTAATTGATGTACTTTGCATTTTGTATACGACTACGAATGAAGTCTAGTCTTTTATTATTTTCATTGTAATTTGATTAGTTCACCGCTTATAATGATGATATAATAAAGCGATTGATTGGATTTTTGTATTATGCATTGTCCTTGTGAAATTATTAAGACTGGTTTACACCATATAGGCATAGCCGCGGGGGAAACTGGGGGTTGTTGAAAGCACGTTTGAACTTGAATTTACGCGCATAGCGGCAGTCAAAGTTCATTCTTTTTATTACAATATAATTTCCACTTCAAAAACGAAGACATCGTGCTAGTTTGCTGTTGTATTTGTGCGTACACTACAATGTATTACCAAAATAGTTTTTCGATCTAACAACATTATAGGCGACTTAAAAATGGCTTCTTGTGATAGTAAAATTTCTTCAAACCTTGTCTTAAAATACGTCAATCTCGTTCCCCGAGCCTGCGATCCTCGTGAAGGAACGTGAGGCTCTGGGATAATCCGTTTCAGGGAGGAATTTGATTGGTTGTTGAAGCGCGCAGTTCAATCTTAGCCAAGCTTTCTGGCTTCTGGCAACGGATTATCCCAGAGCCTCGCGTTCCTTCCCGAGGATCGCAGGCTCGGGATACGAGATAGAAAAAAGGTGAAATAGCGTTCTAATCACTCTCGTACCCGTTGCACATAATCCTTTGAATCTTTTTCAATTTTGGGCCACCATACTTTTGTTCTTAGAGCTTGCTTAGTCTTTACAATTCCTTGGTGCCCTTTATGAACATGTTTTAATGTTTCCATTCTCAACTTAGATGGCATAACAATTTGTGTACCTCGCGCAAGAGTAGTCCGTTATTGGTCACTGATAGTTCATGCCTGACAGAAAATAGATCACTTGCCTTAGTCCATTTTCCTGATTGAATGTTTAATATGGCATTCTGTAGTTCATGATCTTTTTTGGTAGCCACCATGATATCTTTGATGTTCATTGCAACAGGGACAGAGTGTTGTTCCACAAAATTGACATATTTATATTGATCTGCTACATTGCTAGATTAAATTCCTACCAGAGGACCTTGTGCTGCATTTTTCGCAGTTGTTCCTGGTCAGGTCTTAAAGTGTATACTGTATATACTCACTTGGATTACAAACCCTAAAAACAGCATTCTAATATCAGTGAAGTGCAAATAACCAGATTATATTATACCACAAATGCAGTGCCGGCGGCATGTGAAGAAAGGTTTTACTGTTTCTAGTTTTTAAAGGAGAAAGATACATATTGTCTTGATCAAGACACTAGTTATTGTTGCCTCTCTTGGCTGCGTTTCCAAATCAAATAATATGTTATTTGATCTGAGGTGGCTCGATACAGTTTTTTTTACTTTTTTAGACATATCAAACTTTCGCAATACAAAAAGTAGTTTCGAATTTCACGGCTTCATATTTCACAATATTTGCCCCAAAATAAGGCAAAATTTTGCACTTTTCTCGCTCTTGTTTCTTATTCACAAAGAATTGCGCTCGAACACCTACAAAATCATAAAATATGGGCCTTCAGACGTCCTTTGAATGTGTTTTACCGAGCAAAAATGAAAACAAAGCCCGTTCAGCAATATTTAATAGTAATTTACACTACGCGCGCGTCATCGGCTCAGGTGAACAGGCTGTAGACTCCAGATCCCATTTGCGCATGCATATGGCACCGGACACTGCCAAAATCATATAGGCTGCTCCATTATTATTATTATTATTAAGTCTTTATTAAGGTTACAGGATACCCTAGACATGCCTTTCGGGAGATCCGCTGTAACTCGATTAATTTTAATCCAAATTCCATCAAATTTTCACCAAATGTAGTTAGATAAATGCAGTATAAGATGTTTTTATCATATGTGCGAAAGAATAAATACTTATTCAGATATTTGCCAAAGCCTGAAATCGCGGTACTTCCGCGCCGTGAAGTTTGTTAGACCCCGGTTTTACTCAAATCCTATAAAAATATCATTTTCACTCTTCTCAAAGGTTGTTCTAAAAAACGGTGTTCGCGTTTTGTAGTTGCTTTAGGGGTTCATGAGTTACGACATATTCGTTGCAGCCCATGCTATATTGCAACTAATTGACAACAAAAGGCTTGTAACTTGCTTATTATTTGAATAAAAAGCTCGCGCGCACACCGTTTTGTAGCCAAAATATGTACCTATGCTGTGTGAAAATTTGACAAAAATCGGTTAAAACGCACGCTTAACAAACTTTATTTAGTGCGTGTATTCAACTCAAAAGTCAAGTGCCTCAAAAAGCGCTTTGAAAATTTCGCGGGTTTTCTTTCAGTGTAATTTAGGTGTAATCAGGTACTCCGCCCACTGTGACGCACTGTCATTATAAAGTTAATCCGATGACAGATATATAACGTTTGCGGCAAGACTACAATATATAATCAAGTCATGCCTAAACGAAAAGAAAAAGCTGAGGCTCAAAATAAGACAAACCAACGCGCCACAAAAAAGCGCAGAATTTCAAAAGCGACAAAAAATGCAGAACAGCAGAGTTCAGCGGATGGCGATGTGGACTACAAAGAAAAACTAATGGCAACGATGAAAGATAAAGGGTAAGGAAACTTAGGTGAATTTTGTCGCATTTTGATCCGACGATTTTTGCTAGTTGACGTTATAGAAAGCCATGCATTTGTTCTCTCTCTTCAGTTACGATGGAGCAAACTTTGTAAAAAATATTGAGGCTGGTGTTGAAGACAGGCTAAAGAAGCGTGGTAAACCACCTAGAATTGTACGGTATTTCTTTTATTGTGGATGGGCACACGCGCTGATCGTAAGTTTACAATCGGTTATATATATAATTGCACCTGGTTTGTTGGCATTTTTGCACAATTTGCGTTTTTATAGTAAGCCGCGCATCGTAACGTTTTTGGAAAGAAAGGCTTTATTGTAAAATGTCATTAAATTTTCGTTCATTTATAGAAACAGGGAATCGGTCCGAAGGATGCTGCCTATGGATATCCTGTCGAAGTATTGAATTTCCTGAGAGATATCGCGCCAGGTGATGTGAAAGGAGAGATAAGAGAAGTGAGTTTGATCAATTCTGTACGCAAAGCCGAAGGTCACTAAAAGCCGATCAGCTAGGGAACGAAAGGGCTAATTCTAATAAAGCTTTTCCAGTTTTACCGGTAGACATTACCCTAGATTCCAGAGCCTTCGACAGTAAATAATAAATTGAAACGTCGCGAAGGCTCTGGTTCAACGGGGAGATTCTTTGATTAAACCGCGCCAATCACAAAACAGAATTAGTGGTTTTAGTTCAATTTATTATTTACTGTCGCAGGCTCTGGAATTCAGGGTAGGTAGACATGCACTTGTGGCTAAATTATGGCAAAAATGATAAGTCGCAAATCGATGTTTTTATTCTGATTCTAGGATGCTTACAATATTGAGCTGGACATCTTTTGTGAAGCTTTGAAGATTCCGAAGTTGTGACCGTATAGACTATAGTGTTTGTCAAATATCACTATAATATAACTATAATAATTAGGTTTAAAAATATATGTTTTACAGTAATTATGATAAACATACTCATGTAAATATACTTAAATATTATATTCTATAATTATATGCTAGTAAATATTAGGCAAATTAACTGTT